AATCCCTAGTGCTGCGTAACGGATGAGCTCCCGTTCCTTGACCCAGCTTCTGCCAACCTAGCAATTCGAAAGCACGTAAAAAATGCAAGTAGAAAAATAGGGACCACCTTTGGTGGGAAGGTAACAGCGTTCCGTGCGCCTTTGGCATTTAGTCATGCCGGCCACATGAACACAGAGATGTCTTCGGACAGCGCTGGCTCTTCGGCTTTGAAATGGAGATGAGCACCGCCCCCTAGAGTCAGGAACGACTAGTGCATATGTGTGAGGGGAGCCTTTACCTTACAGACCACAATGGTTCCGTCTAAGTCCTCCTTTTGGGTTTCAGCCCATTAAAATCCACACTTTGGTTTAAATTTCAGCCCAGAGAATTTTCCTTTAATCTAATGCCTTTTGCGTGCTGCATTACTTGGAATGCTGGTGTTTCCTTATTTGTTATTTTGACAATCCTTCCCTTTCCTTCTCAATAAAGGGGCCGTGACACCCGTTAAAGACCAGGCAGTGTGTGGATCCTGCTGGAGTTTTGCCACAACAGGAGCTCTGGAAGGAGCCCTCTTTCTCAAGGTGAGACCCCCAATGGCAGATGGATTGTTGACAGTGAATCAGATGTAAAACCAGCATCCGGTTTTCCCGAACCGGTCCTAACCGGCTGAATTCCACTCCTGGATGTGACCATGGGGATGCTGCAAAGGTCATAAGTGTGAAAAACGGTCATAAATCACTTTTTTCAATGCCATTGCAGCTTTGAACGGTCACTAAATGAACTGTTGTAAGTTGAAGACTACCTGTAGTTGGTTTCTAACCAGAGAGAAGTTCTCTTTTGTTCTTTCGATGCAGACAGGAGTGCTTACCCCACTATCTCAGCAAATTTTGATTGACTGTTCCTGGGGTTTTGGAAACCGTGCTTGTGACGGGGGCCAGGAACCACAGGCATTTGAATGGATTATGAAGCACGGAGGGATTGCCACCGCTGAGGCCTACGGGCCATACATTGGTCAGGTAAATCTAGGGTAGTTTTGCAGATATTCCTCCCGTATCCCTCAGGTGAGATGTTTCTACTGGTCTTCTTTATCCTGGGATTGTAAGCAAATTTCTGCAGTTGTTAAGTGAATCATGCAGTTATTAAGTGAATCTGGCCTCCCCTCTTGACTTTGTGTGTCAGAAGCCAGTTGGTAAGGTTACAAATGTTGATCACATGATCCCGGGACAGTGCAACTGTCATGAGTTCATGCCAGTTGCCAAGCGCACAAATTTTGATCATGTGACCATGGGAAGGCTGCAACGGTCATAAGTGTGAAAATCAATTATAAGTCACTTTTTTCAGTGCGGTTGTAACTTCGAATGGTCACTAAAGGAATGGTTGCAAGTCGAGGAGTATCTGTATTTTGTTATCCTTTTTCCTGCATTGGAAAAAGCAGAACAAATGGTCCAAAATATGCCCAATAAATGCAGTTATGAATCTCGTGCCAGACCTAGATTGATTTAGATTGCTCTGCTTTCCAAGCACAATTTTATATTCATAAGAGCTTCCTTCTCTAAATACAAAAAAACACCCATGATTCTTAAGATGTGGATTCTAGCCCCCTCCTGCCAAATCATCTCTTTTCTTAATTTTGCACAAAACACCCAACTTTGTTCAAGGGCACCAAGTTCAATTACTGCACAAAGTGCGGTCCAAAATCAAGGATGGATTGTGACATTTGTGTACTCCAAGTGCATGTTTTTCCTCACCGATAAGTAGCAGGGGGTTGGATTAGAAGACCTTTAGGGTACCTTCCAACTCTGTTACTGTTATTATTATCTGAGCTGGGGCAGAACAAAAGGGTTGATGTCATTGATGTTATTTATAGTAGTAATAAAATAGTGTTTATCAAGTGATTTTCATACTATTAAGTGTTTGGGAGTTAGTGAACAATCTGAAACTTCATGAAGGAGTCAATGAACTGAAGAGTTTGGGGAGCCCTGAGCTAGATGGATAAATGATCTGATCTGGTAGCTCCCTAGGTTGATAACCAAGCTGCACATTAGTGGCCGAAATTAATGTAACTTCTGTGAAGTGAACGGGGCTACCTTGTCTCTTCTGCCCCCACAGAATGGCTACTGCCACTACAATCAATCGGAGCTGATGGCACCCATCACCGGCTTCATAGCTATTACCTCCCAAAACATCACTGAGCTTAAAGCTGCTCTGTACAAGCATGGCCCCATCGCAGTGAACATCGATGCCTCCCACAAGTCCTTTGCCTTCTACTCCAATGGCATCTATTATGAGCCTAACTGTGGTGAGTTTTCTTTCACTTCTTGGTTCGTGGTTGTTCTGACCTAGGCTTCCTGAGACAGTAAAAAGCATACAATTAGTCCCCAAAACCCTCTTTTTATTTCTATGGCTGTGAATTATTGTTCATTCCCAGCCCGTAATGAGTCACAAAGAGTTGGTATAGATTCCGAAAGAAGTCTGCCACAGTCTTTCGGGATCAGGCTGATAAGCATCCACCTTTATCTCCCTTGACACTCTGCCAAAGACTTAATTAGCTTTGCAAAGCCACACGGAGCACAGAGTCAAAACGGAGCTTCAGAATTTGAACCAACCAGAACGAACGTTACTTCCTACAAAGGCTCAAATGCCTTTGCTCCTCCTTTATGCATTATGGGAGGGGCCAATCATCTCCAAGCCCTACTCCTGAGTCATCCCTTTTGTTTTAACTGTTCTTGCCCTCTGGTAGCTCTGCACATGTGCGTACTGAGAACAGGCTCCCCCTGTTTCTCTGCCTCACTGATGTCCAATTATGGAGGCTCCGGAGGCAGCACATAACTCCCAGATGGTCCTGGCGCCCTCTCTGCCTCTGATGCAGAGCCCTCGTCCAAGCCTTCCCCAGTCTCCAGGACTGGCCCATGTACCTCCCCAACCTGCTCACTGTCCAACTGTGCTGCCATTACTTCACGTGATCTTGATTTTATGCAACCCAGAACTGGGTTGGCTTTTTTGGCAGCTGCTGCACACTGCTGGCTCAATCTAAATGGTTGTCCACTAGGATTCCAAGATCCCTCTCACAGTTACTACTATTGAGCAAGGTACCACATATACGGTACCTGTGCATTTTGTTTTTCTTGCCTAAATGTAGAACCTTACTTTTTTCACTGTTGAATTTCATTTTGTTATGATGTTAATTATTACACTTATTCTTCTAGGAAATAGAACCATGGAGTTAGATCATGCTGTCCTAGCTGTGGGTTACGGAGACCTCCAGGGGGAACCCTACTGGCTCATTAAGAACTCTTGGTCTACATATTGGGGTAATGATGGCTACATCCTCATGTCCACGAAGGAAAACAACTGTGGGGTGGCTTCTAGTGCCACCTATCCAATCCTGGCTTAACAACAATGGCTCTCATGTTCAGCAAAAGATATCTGGTTGTATTTCATTAGAAAATTCCATAGCAAAAGGTCCTCATTTTACAGATCATTCAGCTGAGTCGCCATTCATGCTGCAAAATGCTATTGCATTGTAAGGTGGAACCTGAAGTTTGAACATGTGTCTGTATGCACTTATCTTAACCTAACCTACCATCCCTCCCTAGCTTTTTGAATCAGTGAGACCACTGTATAGTGGGTAATTCAGCCATTCACACACTTGTGTAAGATCACAACCATTCAGACTACTGGGACAGAAAAGGGAAGGGAAAACATTTTAAATCATCATAAAATCCACTTCCGAGAACTTCATGTAGCAAACAAATGTGGGTAGATGGAATTGAGTTATTTGCACGGATAATGATCCCTGAATAAGATTGGTAAGGTGGTGACTACACAAACAGCTAATGATTCTCCATCAATTCGAATGAAGCAGCTTTATTTTTCTTAGTACCTTTGCATTTTAATGAAAACAAGCAGAAGGTCCTATGCAAGTCGTATGTTACTGATGTTGTGTTAGCCTTGCCATTGCGGTTTGTAAACTATGCCTTATGAGGATTTGACACATTGCAAAATTAGCCAATTATGGCAGATTTATGAACCATGGCTAAACAAATAGTAGTGTAATATCTGAAGCAAATCAATTAAAAAAAAACTTGAATTATATGGCTTTTGTCTTTTTCTTAAGAAATATGTAGCTCATAATGTAAGATTTGACCTTAAGATCTGGAATTGATGCTTGAATTTATGTTTTGCAATAAACAGTGACTATGTTCAAGGGATATATTAAGTAATATGTTCACGTAGGGCGTGGGGTGGACTAGAGGATCTCTAAGGCCCCTTCCACGACTGTGATTCTAAGGCTCGCTTTCTGCACGCCCTTAAACACGGAAGGAGCAAGAACAAGGCAGGGGAGAAAGGTGACGCTGCTGTTGCCGCCGAACAGTGTCCTCATTCTGGCCAGTCCGAGATGAGATTTAGGGTCAGTAAAAAGACACGTCCGTCTGCTAGCCAAGACATGATGTGTCCCCCTCTCCCCCCCCCCGAGAGATAACTGTTCGTATTCGGCTGACAGCCCAGCAGAAGCGTGGATACGGCTCGGTCCGCGTTGCCTCTTTCGACGCAACACAAGATTTTGTTCCTTTCGAGGCAGAAATTCCTCCGTTATTCTCCGGCATCTCGCTTCGAACCGGTGTAAGGTCTCCTGCTTGGGCGGGGGGGTTGGACTAGATGACCTACAAGATCCCTTCCAACTCTGTTAATCCGTTAAAACCGGACTGTGAGGCACTCTAGCCTCATTTCTTCCCTGTTCTCTATGGTAAAAGATACCTGAACACGGGTCACCTGACGTCTTATCTCCAGCCCCCTCCCCTCCCCCTCCCCCCAGGATGGCGCCCTCCCGTGACGTCAGAGCGCATCTCTTGTTTTTCCCCTTCGCCGCTTCCCCAAACAACCAAGACCCCGCCTCCCCGCCTCCCGCTCCTGAGTGACGTCCGGAGAGACTCAATGAGCCTCAAGATAAGGCCAAAGCGCCCGCCTCACAACGGCTGAACGGCGTCGACGTTAGCCAATGACGTAGAGAGGAGGGAAAGGGCACCACGTCGGATTGGGTGAAGGCTTACTCCTGTCGGGGAAGGCGGCGGACATGGCGGCGCTTTACGCTTGTACCAAGTGCCACCAGCGGTTCTCCTTCGAGGCGCTCAGCCAGGGGCAGCAGCTCTGTAAGGTCAGGGCCGGGTGTGGGGTCGGGGAAGCCGAAGAGTGAGCCGGGGAGGGTGGGGGGGAGGGGGACGGAGGGGAAGCTGCGTCGGGTTTGTAAGCAGAAGCTATGAATCTGAATATAGGTTCGATTCCCACCCCGCCCCCGAATCCATCCTTAGCCTGACTAGGTGGCTCAGTGGCTAAGACCCTGAGCTTGTCGATCAGAAAGGTCGGCGGTTCGAATCCCTAGTATAGGTCTCCTGCGTGAGCAGGGGGTTGGACTAGATGACCTCCAAAGGTCCCTTCCAACTCTGTTACTGTTACCTTACCGCCTCCGGGGCTCTTGGGGTTGCGCTGCCCGTTACCGCCTTCAATTTTGAAACAAAACAGCGCTGTGGCCTCCTTCGCAAGGTTGTTGTTGCGGTACTTAGGCAAAAATGGCTATGCGAAGAAGGTGACTTGGGGCCAGTCTCCTCCCCCCTCTCTCTCAATCCAGCCCACCTCACAGGGTTGTTGTTCTGGGTAAAACAGGAGCACTTTTTGAGTGTACTACTTTTGTTATTTTTTTAATCCAGCCTTTATTTATATAAATAAAAAGACTGGATTAAAAAAAATCTAACAATAGGTAGTACACTCAGTTATTTATATATAAAAAGCTAATTATAATAATTGGGATGGCTGAAGGAAGGATGAAATAGTTCTGTAAGGGTGTGTGTATATGTTTGTTTATTGCACCTGTATCTTGCCTGTTCAAGAAATCAAATTTTGATTCGCCTTCAGTCAATTGCATTAAAATATAATAAAATCAATCAGGAGAGGGAGTATAAATGAGGTTTGTCCCCATCTCATTCACACAATGGCCCTTTTGTAGGAGAAAGTTAACGTTTACTTAATGTAACTTAGTAAAATTTTAAAATTTAGTAAATGTCATCTGATTTAATTTCAGTTCCAGCACCAAACTTCTGAGTAGTGTTGTTTATGGCAATGCATTTAACCTGGTTGTTGATTTAATCCTGTTTTGTTTGTACAGGACACTAAATGCTGAAAAATCAATAACACTGATCAAGTTTAGTACGTTGTATCAGTGTATTGTATCTGACCTGAAAATCAGGAGTTTGGTAACATCTTTTCTGATACAGTAACAGATTTTATTAAAAGGCAGAAGCTTTTGGGAGCTGCATTTGATGAAGAAAACTGTGATTCTTGAAAGCTTTTGCCTTTACATATGTAACAAGTCAGCACTTGCCCTCCCAGAAGATTGAAATATTTTGGGAAATATTAAAAAGGCAGAATATTATATTTTCCTAAAAGAGAAATGGAGAAAACATGCGCTTAAAGACAGAAAGCAGACTCGGTATTTCTTAACAGCCCCCAGCAGATATTTTTTGCCAGTTAAGAAAGTTTGGGAAACTTTCAGCCCCAGTTTCCAGCAGAAACTGATGAGGCCAGCTTTTAGAAATGCAGATGTGGTAATCAATTCAGAAAGACTGGGTCAAGACAGAAACTCAGATAAGCAACAAACAAAAGATTGACAAAATTAGCTCAGACAAATACTTAGGATTTGCATGTCCCCTTTTGCCTATAGAGACAGTCATGACCCCTACACGACCCCCATAGGAATCTGACAACAGCCAATAGAATATTAAAGGATATGATCTTGCACAGGAAGCTCAAATACAAAGCCCAAAGAAGGTATAAAAACCCACCCACTCTCAACTCCATTATGTCAGCTGCCCAGAATCACATGTGGTTTTGCTTCATCAGTAAACCATCTTTCCAATCAGCCTCCATGTTTCCAGTGTCTCCCAGCTTGGAACTGAACCAGAGGGATTTTCCTCCCAACACAAAATATGTAAATCAGAAAAGGTGCTATTGATTCCTTCTAATTTTTTATTTATTTATTTGTTTGTTTGTTTGTTTAAATTTCTATACCGCCCTTCTCCAAATAGGACTCAGGGCGGTGCACAGCCTAAGTAAAAACAAAACATACAAAATTTAAAAAACAGTATTAAAATAATTAGATATTCTGGCCGTAAATTAAAACAACCCAATTTAAAACCAATTTAAAATTTAGCTCAAGCCAGCCCAGCTAGTTGAAATAAATAAGTTTTCAGGGCCCGACGAAAAATCCGGAGGTCTGTTATTATACGTAACTCCGGGGGAAGGTTATTCCAGAGGGTGGGCGCCGTCACAGAGAAGGCTCTCCCCCTGGGGGTCGCCAGCCGACATTGTCTGGCGGACGGCACCCTGAGGAGGCCCACTCTGTGCGAGCGTACTGGCCGGTGGGAGGCTATTGGTGGCAGTAGGCGGTCTCGTAAGTACCCCGGCCCTAAGCCATGGAGCGCTTTAAAGGTGGTCACCAACACCTTGAAGCGCACCCGGAAGACTACCGGGAGCCAGTGCAGCTCGCGCAGGAGAGGTGTCACATGGGAGCGCCTCGTCGCCCCCATAATCCCCCGCGCGGCTGCATTCTGGACCAGCTGGAGCCTCCGGGTGCACCCCAGGGGGAGCCCCATGTAGAGAGCGTTGCAGTAGTCCAGGCGGGAAGTGACTAGTGCCTGAGTGACTGTGCGTAGAGAGTCCCGATCTAGAAAGGGGCGCAACTGGCGTATCAGGCGAACCTGATAAAAAGCCCCCCTGGCCACGGCCGTCAAATGGTCTTCTAAAGACAGCCGTGCGTCCAGGAGGACGCCCAAGTTGCGAGCCCTCTCCGTGGGGGCGAGTGATTCGCCCCCAATAGCCAGCGATGGCGTCAGCTGGCTATATCGGGACGCTGGAAGCCACAGCCACTCGGTCTTGGAGGGGTTGAGTCGGAGCCTGTTTCTCCCCATCCAGGCCCGCACGGCCTCCAGGCACTGGGACATCACTTCAAGGGCATCGTTGGGGTGGCCTGGGGTGGAGATGTACAGCTGGGTGTCATCAGCGTACTGATGGAACTCCACCCCGAAGCCACGGATGATCTCACCCAGTGGCTTTACATAAATGTTGAACAGAAGGGGCGAGAGGACCGACCCTTGTGGCACCCCACAAGCAAGGTGCCTCGGGGTCGACCGCTGCCCCCCCGTCAACACAGATTGCGACCGGTCAGAGAGGTAGGAGGAGAACCACCGCAGAACGGTGCCCCCCACCCCCAACCCCGCCAACCGGTGCAACATGATACCATGGTCGATGGTATCAAAAGCCGCTGAGAGGTCTAACAGGACCAGGATAGAGGAGCAACCCCTATCCCGAGCCCTCCAGAGATCATCCACCAACGCGACCAATGCCGCTTCCGTGCTGTGCCCAGGTTGGAAGCCGGACTGGAGCGGGTCTAGATAGATAGTTTCATCCAGGTACCGGGGAAGCTGTTGTGCTACCACACTCTCAACAACCTTCGCAACAAAGCGAAGGTTGGAGACTGGACGATAGTTAGCCAAAACAGCCGGATCCAGAGAGGGCTTCTTGAGGAGGGGCCTCACAACCGCTTCTTTCAAAGCGGCCGGCAGGACCCCCTCACTCAAAGAAGCGTTAACAATCTTCTGGAGCCAGCCTCGTGTCACCTCCCGGGAAGCCAGTACCAACCAGGAGGGACACGGGTCCAATAAACATGTGGTCGCATTCAGCCGTCCCAGGACCCTGTCCATGTCCTCGGGAGCCACAGGATCGAACTCCCCCCAGATAACACTCTCAAGACCTGCCTCAGTCATCCCATCCGGACATACCCAGTCAGAGGCCAGCCCTTCCCGAATCTGAGCGATTTTGTCATACAGATACTGCACAAAGTCCTCAGCTCGGCCCTGCAAGGGGTCATCCCGCGCTTCCAGATGGAGGAGGGAGCGGGTCACCCTAAACAGGGCGGCCGGGCGATTATCTGATGACGCGATAAGAGCGGCAAAATAGCTAGATTTTGCCGCTTTTATCGCCACTAGGTAGGTCTTAATATGAGACCTCACCAGTGTTCGGTCGGATTCGGAGCGGCTGGTCCTCCAACTACTCTCCAGGCGTCTTTTCCGGCGCTTCATCTCCCTAAGCTCCTCGGAGAACCAAGGAGCTAGGTGAGTTCGGTGCCGGGTCAGAGGCCGCAAAGGCACGACACGGTCCAAGGCCCCGGCAGCCGCACTATCCCAGGCGGCCACCAGGTCCTCAGCCGAGTCGTGAGTCATAGTCTCAGGAAATTGCCCAAGCTCCATCTGGAACCTATCAGGGTCCATCAGGCGCCTGGGGCGGAACCACCTGGTCGGTCCCGCCTCCCTGCGGCGGGGTGCAGCGGTTAGAAAGTCCAGTCGAAGGAGTGAGTGGTCAGACCATGACAAGGGTTCGATGACTATATCCCCTGTATCAAGGCCACTCGACCACTGACCAGAGACAAAAACTAAGTCCAGAGTGTGTCCACCCATGTGAGTGGGGTCATGAATTAACTGAGTAAGGTCCATGGCCGTCATGGAAGCCATGAACTCCCGAGCCACCTCAGACGTTTCGCCGACAGATGGCAGGTTGAAATCCCCCATGACTAGAAGTCTGGGGGTACCAACCGCCACCTCAGCTATGACGTTGAGCAGCTCAAGCAGGGCCGTTGCCACGCGGCAGGGAGCCAGGTACGTGATCAACAAGCCCATCTGTACTCCACGACCCCATCTCACAAAAAGGGACTCACATCCGGCTATCTGTGGAACAGTGGTCTCCCTCGGATCAAGACTTTCCTTTATAATAACCCCCCCCCCCCCCCCCCCCCCCCCCCACCCCCCCACCCCTGCCCTGAGCTCTCGGCTGATGGAATGCTCGGAAACCTGGTGGGCACATATCCACGAGGGGAACCCCCCCCTCATGGCCCAACCAGGTCTCCGTAATACCTGCCAGGTCCGCTCCCCCTCCTGAATAAGATCGCAAATGAGGGGGGCTTTATTTACCACGGACCTGGCATTGCACGACAGCAGCCGAAGGCTCGGGCCCTGAGAGTCTGAACTGCCTGGGATACGAGAAGGGCTATGGGGACCGGGGCGCGCCACCGCTCGAAGATAGCGAGTGCGCGCCCCCACCACATGATGCGGCCCCCTGCTCCCGCCGTATCTGCCCCTCCCACTCAACACATTGATAGAAAAGCCCTCGACAGAATGGACTCTAATGTCCCCCTTACCCCCGGAATCTGCACCCTCCGTGGCCCCACTAACAGCTGGGCCGGACCCCTCCCCCCGTGGGTTAACCCCCAAACCCACACAACCCTCCCACCCCTTAAAATCCCTTAAAAATCTATCAAAAAGTTTCCCTAAAAAACCCCTCAATCCCCTTTTTGCAGCATGCCACCTCTCGGGGTGCCAAAGCCCGTCATAAAGGTAGGCCCTTGATAAAGTAGAGGGCCACACCTGCGAGAGGGGGGAGTCTCGCAGAATAAGAAGTTCTGTTGGTGAATACATCTAATCAATCAGTTAATTAATTAAGCTGGGGGAAGTCCACGGCCTGGGGGTAATCCAGATAGTCCAAGGTCTGGGGAGGGACATTCAGTCAATTCCAAGTCAATAAAGTCAATAAATCCCACTGCTCTCTCACAGCAGTGGATGGAGTCTTAAGCCACTTTGAGGCCAGATGTTAACACCAGCTGCCCTCTCACGAAAGCTGGGAAGGGCCAGAAACCGCAGTCATCGTCCGGCTCCATACAAGGCTTGAAATCTGAGATATCTCACTCACGAATCAGGAGGCAAATCAGGGGGCTGTAGATGTCCATGGGAGACAAATATCATCCTATTGTTCAGAGGAACCTCCAGATAATAAGTGGCCTCACAGAGGCTAACAAACCACGTGGGGCATAAGAGCTTGGCCTCAGGTCTTTTCCAACCATCAGAACCAGCAATGTTTTTAGCTCGCCCCCATCCACATAAGGGAGGGGGGGGAAAACCTCTGGGAGAGCCAAGAAGAGGCTCCCTCCAAGTAAGCCTCCCATCTAAGTTGTAATAGCAGTTCCAAAGAAACTGACATTACTAGTATATTGTGGTCAGAGGCTCCTCGCGCTCCCGAGCAAGTTCCTCCTCCTTTTCGCCCCCTCTGGTGCCATCCCTCACAGCCGCTCGTCCCAGTATTGTAGCAAGTGCCAGCCCGACGATCCCAGCTCTCGAAAAAATCTCCATCCATCGCTGGGAAGCCCCTGCCGTCCCCTCGGAGCTCCGGGGAGAAACTGCATCGCCGACGCCGCCACCGCCCACTCCACTGGTCCGGCAGCTGCGGGGAGACGCCGAAGCCGCTCTCCCTGCTCGTAAAACTGCAGCGCAGCCGCCTCCGTCTCCTCCCGACCATCGCGTTCTGGAAAGCTGCCAGCTCTCAAAAAGACAGCATCCGATTGGTGGGAAGCTCCCCTCGCCAGACATGGGGCAAAATTAGCTGGTCCGGCCCCCGAAAACCCCCAAAAGCCGGGGAATCTCCCCCAGGTATCACCGCCGCTCAGCAGGGAGCGGCCATCTTGGACATGCGCAGGAGGATTTCTTTGACAACATAGACTAATACAACTCTCCATCTGAACTGGTTAAGTGTGACCTGATTAAGTGTATTGTGTTAACATCACCAGTGAGTGGAGACTGTAGTCTAAGCCTCTACGGTTGGATAATGTGACTCTGGTCACATCAGCCTTCTCCATTACTGCCCTTCCCTTATACGTGCTAACTACATTTTGGAGAGCTGAAATCCAGCATATTTAGAGGCATCAGGTTTAGGAAAGCTGTATGGAACTGGGCTGAGACTTATCTTAAATTTAACCTTTCTTGTCAACCAGTCATAATGGTTTGTAGATTTGTACTGTACACACCTAGCTAATTATAGTTGATTCAACAAATCTTGGTTAATGAAAGCATGATTTAATGATATGTGAAATCAGCTTCATATGACTGCTGTGCTACACTGGTTCTCCAGGTTTCATATCTCTAAGGAGGAAATGTATTGAAAAGGAGAAGAGGTGTGTCATGAAACTAAGGCCAGTGTCCCAATCCTGATTTCTAACCTTTTCTAAAGCACCAAGTGTCAAACATGCAGTGTCATGTGACGTATTGTGATGTTTTTTCCCTTCGCGGAGCTGGGGTGGGCGTGGCCTGCACGTGACACATCCAGCCTGTGGGCCACCAGTTTGACACCCCTGTTCTAGAGCCATCCAACTATCATTGTGCCAATATAATAATCAGAAAGATAGAATCTTTTTTAAAAAACACCTTAATGGTGTTAAATAGTAATATAACTTGCTAGTGAGAAAATGGCCCTCAGAATTCAAAAATATGTGTACTTACTTGGGAATAAATTCCACTGATTTTAACAATACTTATTTCTAAAGTAAAATTGATTCTTTGGGCCATGGATGATGAGAAATGTACCTTGGAAAGATACTTTGGAATTGAATAAACAGATGCTTTGTGGGTTTAACCCTATGACCATTTAATAGTTTTAGCTATTTCTCCATGCATTTATTGTTCATTAGCCCACTGATTTAATTAAGTTGTGTATCTAGCAAAATAAATTCTGAATGATGCTTGTTAAGTTAGATTTGGGGTATAGTCATTGCAAGTTATTACCTTTTTGTATACCATCCTTGTACTAAATTGTTCCTGTTTGAAACTGGTGTACAATAAAGTCTATACAGTCATAAAATCTAGACAATAAAATTAATACTGTAGATAAGTATCCTGCAGAGGTTGAAACCAGTTAGATAAGAGTAAGAAGGACAATAATGTCTGTTGTTCTGGATTAAATTAAACTGGAGGAGAAAGGCTCCAGGAGGGCAATTTAAGGATGGGGAAAAATAATGTTGATTAGAGGGAAGATTACTATTTCAGAATCCTTGTAGGCAAAGCAGGATTCTAAGTGAACCATTAAATTGCATTGGATAGTATTATGTTATGTTGCTACAGTGATTTTCTTGTTCTTTGTACTCTTGCTTAGAGTTTGATGCAGCTTTCTATGCTATGTGATACCTAGTGAAGTTTATATTAAATGTCAACGGTTTCTTCTAAGGTTTTGATTGTGATCAAAAGCAGCTGTGTAAGAACCATAAATTTCGCTATAAAGCACTGTGATCATAACCGCTTCCTAGAGAAAGCCCTTGTTATTACTCTTAATAACGGCTGAATTCAAGCAATCCATTGGTTTTAGATGTATGGGACATTATGTATGCTATATACAGTAAAATTTCCTTGGTCCTGCTGATGCTTTTCTCTGGGAGTTTGTATGCATTTCAAGTCTTTTTAACACATCCTTTCTTCTTCAGGAATGTCGAATTGCACACCCAATTGTTAAATGTACCTACTGTAGAACTGAATTCCAGCAGGAGAGGTAAATATTGCATATGATAAATTATTAAGAAATAGCAGCATGAAATGACATGGGGGGAGGATTGAATTAGATGACCCACAAGATCCCTTCCAACTTTTAAAGCTGTATCTGACTGATGTTTTCCACACGAAAACTTTTTACAGTGTTGTCTTCTTTCATTTCCAATGTGTTTTGAATACCAGTAAATAGTTCAAAATGCTTTATGACTTGTTAATGTTCAGCCAGGCAGAAGAACAGACACTTCACACTGGTGTTCTAAATTATGCTTGCAGCAGTTTAGAAATAAATTCTGTTGAAAGAGATAGCACTTCCAAGAGAAAAGAATTACGGAAAATGCCGCTTGTCTTCTATCCATGTGTGGTAGCTGTTATGAAAAAATGAAATCAAAATATTTTCTTCTCCATTGCAGCGGTAACACTAGAACAACTCATCACTTCCTTTAGTAGCTCCCTAGGATGCTGTTAGTGCCAGCTCCAACTTTATGGAAGTGCCACTAACATTGGCAGTAACTACAGGAGTGGGATTCCCATGTATACTGCTGCATCCGCAATGAAGTCAGATGGGGATTTTTTTTTTTTTTGCAGCCCTGCACATTCAATATGCCAAATTGCTATTGTCACTAGGACCCAGATTTTGGCCAGAAGGGAATTAAAATCCACCATATCTGTATGCTTGAACTATACGAACAATGGCAGTACAGCAAGATTACAGTAATTTGTAAATATAGTTAGTCCTTGACTTGAACCACAATTGGGACCAGAATTTCCATTGCTAAGCAAGATGTTTGTTAAGTAAGTCACACTTGATTTTATGACTTGCCTGAACATGGAGATTTTGCAGTAATTCAGCTCTGTTGTTTAAGATTGCTTAGAATAATGCTTTCCTGAATTCAGTGGGAATTCTTGGGATTGTTACTCCAGTTACCATATTTTTCAGAGAATAAGATACACCGGAATATAAGATGCAGCTTAGTTTTTGGGGAGGAAAATAGGGGGGGGGGGATCTGCCTACCAGGTATTCATCTGGCTAGTATCCTTAGTCTGGTCAGCTTCAGCACATTAGTTTGTTTTCATTAAGGGATAATGAAAAATGAAGTCTAACCAACCGGAAACCCCTGATATAAGATAAAACATAATGTGGAAGCCACAAATGTGTTTAAAATTCTGCCTTCTATATTTGATCAGTAGACATTGGGGCTGTGCAGCTGTTCAGCTATACACTCCAAAAGGTGCTGTTGGAAGAAATATCCTTCTGGATTCAGCTCCAAGTGGGGAAAAAGACACTGGAAACATGGAGACTGCTTGGAAAGATGGTTTAATGGTAGACAGGATCACATGGCTTGAGTTCCTGAACAGAAAAAGGGCAGATACAACCCAGTCCCTGGGTTTTATGCTTTCTCTGGCTTTGAACTTCCTGGGCTCCCAAAAGAGTATCCTGATTGGTTATCAGACTTCCAGGGGGTGGGGGTCTTAGCTAGCCCTGCTGGCTGATGTAATCTTCCCAGGTGCTATGTGGTGAGTTTCTGTCCTAGATGGGTCCCATTGTCTTGCAGATGAGGTCCATTGACAAAGATTGAGTTTCTGCCTCTGGCCCATTAACAAAAGGGTGGGGGCAGGAAGGTGGGAGCTGCTTTGTCTTTAAAACATGCTTCTCCATTTCTCATCCAGGGAAACATAATATTATGCCTTTTTAATATATTTCCCAAAATATTTCATTCTTCTAGGAAAGGGGTGGGTGCTAACTTCCTACAGTGCTTAGCATCTATTTTTTAAAATTACCTTTGTTTAAATCAAAATTCTTTTAAATCAACTGACATTAGAGGTCATAACTTTTAATTTAAAACCTGTACATCAGTCCATGTCTTCAAATAAGAGACAACAGAAATAAACATTTGAAATATTCCAAACATTTGAACACACATTCAAGAATTCCCCCATTTGACATTTGAAACCCAGTTATATAAGTTACAAGAAATAGCTTTCCAAGAAAGAAAAGAGGAAAAAAATAAAAATAATCTGTGTGCAAAATAATGTGCTCATTTGCTAGAGATCGTTATGGTGAACAAAGCCCTGCCTGCAAACCGGCTGCTTTCGGTGCATATTTATGAATCAGCTCATTGATTTTATGAACATAGTCTGATTTTTATGCATAGTCACAGCTAGAAGTAACACCTCTTCCAAATCTTTGATTCTTTGGCTCTGTAGCAAGCAGGTCAGTCTCTTTTATCACAATTCAGTTTGCAGATCTGTTTAACTTCCTTTTTGAGCTTCTCAGCAGGGACACGATGCCTTAAAAGTTTTAATACCTCATTAATCTGAGAGGCTGCATACCTGGTTGCTCTAGTCTAGTATAATGACAGAAATGGGTACCTTTTGCCTTTTTGCAGAATTTCAAAAGGTTTTTTTTCCCCCCAGTTCTCTTTGGTATGAACTCAACCTCCTTCTCTGGTGGAGCACAATATTGCATTCCCAGGAATGATAATACACACTTCGTGGTCTCCCTCTTCGCAGAGTGTAGCTGTTTCTGCAGAATGGAGAGCCTGGAGAGCAGGAGCAAAACCAGTGCAGCCCAGAGCCCATTAGGTGCCAAAATGCTGCTACTTGTAACTCATCTCAAACATTCACATAGCTCACCCCATTTGCACCCCTTAAAGCAGCTTCACCTTTTTCTGCAGTTGCTACTGAATCCCAAGAGAATAATGCAGCAGCTTTAAGGGATTGCAAACAGATGCTAAATTTGCACTCCTGTGTGGCTTAAAACAGGGCTATCAAACTCGTGGCCCCTGGTCCTGATGCGTCACATGCCCACACCTGCTTTAGCAAAGGGAGGGAAGTCACAATACGTCACGTGATGACGCTGTGACGATGCAAGTTTGACACCCCTGTCTTAAACCATCCTTTGGAGATGGAATCTGAATAGCTGCATGGCCCTAAGCCACATTGTCCGGTTTTATTTTATTTTTAATACTCGGTTTTTTCTTTTGCTAGTAAAACCAATACAATATGCAAGAAGTGTGCTCAGAATGTGAAACTTTATGGGACGGTATGTATCAAAACTCTTTTTTTTTTTCCTTCAGCAATTTGGAATGGTTACCGATAATATAAAATCATCACTAATAGAAGTAGCAATAAAGCAGTAGCAGAGAAAAAGTCATTTATGGAAATGTGTATTATTATTATTATTATAAATTGCTATTAAATTCGTATGCTGCCCAACTCCCAACACATTAAGGATTATCTGAAATGGGTTGATAGTCTGGTAGTGCAATGCTTCTCAACCTCAACCTACTGTATTTTTCGGAGTATAAGACGCACCTTAGTTTTTGGGGAGGAAGATAAGAAAAAAGCTGATTGGCAGGTGGATCGACCTCCCAGAATACCCCCAATCAGCTGTTCCCAGAGGTGAATTTTAGCAATAGGTTCCTTGGTTGTGAGCTCCGTGCCTTGCTTTTTTTTCTGCCTCTGAAACTTTTGAAACTCCTTTTCAGAAAAAACTTTTTTTCCTGCCTCTGAAAGCCTCCGAAACAGAGCTTCAGAAAAAAAGCCTCTGAAGGTCTGTTTGGGGGCTTCTTTTCTGAAGCTTTGTTTCTGATGCTTTTTTCAGCCTCTGAAACCTCCATTTGAGAAGCTGGGCGGGGCTACCTTCGGAGTATAAGACGCATCCAGATTTTCACCCTCTTTTTGGGGGGAAAAAGGTGCGTCTTATACTCCGAAAAATACTTTAAGATACATGGATTTCAACCTCAGGATTCCCCTAGGCCAGGGGTGTTAAACTCGATTTCAATGAGGGCTGCATCAGGGTTGTGTTTGATCTGGGGGCGGGGGGGGCGTGGCCAGGGGGCATGGCCAGCATGATGTCACTTGTGTCGGATGGGCGCCTGTGGCGGCCCGAGTGCTGTTCCAGAGAAAACAGACTCCTGAGCTCTGTTTTCGGCTGGGACAGCCTCCTGCAAACCCTCTGCCAGCGAAAACGGAGCTTGTGAGGGCTGCAGGCAGCCCTCACAACCTCCGTTTTCGCTGGCAGAGGCACCGCAGGCCCGTCCTTTACTATTTCCAGGGCGGCCCCATGGGCCAGATCTAAGCACCACACGGGCCGGATCTGGCCCCAGGCCTTGAGTTTGACACCCCTGCCCTAGGCGGAATGCTGACTGGGGAATCCTGGGAGTTGAAGTCACATATTTCAAAGTTGCTGAAGCTGTAAAATACGATGATAGTAGATAGTAGAACACTTAGTGATTTCTGGTAAACCACTATAGCTCAAGTAGCTTGTAGTGAGAGTTGCTCAGAATTACTGACTGCTGATAATACGTTTTCCATCACTGGCCTAGTGCCTGATTAAAAAATGAGGTTGTCAACAAAGAATGTCTTCATGTAAGCCAGCTAAGGCATTTGAGCGTTAATTGAGGTTATATTCTTAAGTACATTTGTTACATTTCAAGTGCCTAAAGATCTTAAAATGTGCGTTCTTGCTTTGTAAGTTTAAAACACTTTAAAATAAAGACTTTTTTAAAAAAATTAAGCTGTGTGAGGGATATAATACTGTTTCAGTATGTAAGAGGATTATTTCCCATGGTTGATCAAAGAAAAGTAACAACTATAGAGAAGTTAAATACTTGGTGTCATTATCAGTTCTCCCCCCCCCCTCTTTACTCAATTATTTCATTGGAAAAGAGCTTGGAATGCATTGTTAGGAGCATTTGAGCAGATGGGAATATATTCCAAAGTGGTGCTAATCCCTTTGTTGTTTCATCTTCTTTATTATTTAAGCCAAAGCCATGCCAGTACTGTAACATAATCGCAGCATTTATTGGCAACAAGTGCCAACGGTGTACGAACTCGGAGAAGAAATATGGGCCACCCCATTCATGCGAACAGTGTAAGCAACAGTGTGCCTTCGACAGGAAGGATGATAGGAAAAAAGTGAGTATCTATGTATGTCCAGTTTAGGTAGTCCTCGACTTACAACAGTTCAGTTAATGATCGTTCAAAATTACAGCGGCACTGAAAAAAGTACCGTATTTTTTAGACTATTAAGATACACCAAGATTTCGAAGAGGTATGTAAGGACCGGCCTCCCTGGTCCTCAGGAGCACTCTGCAGGCCTCCCAAAATCTCTGCGTGCCCTGATTTTCGCAAAAACGGGGGCGTTTTTGCTTGTTTTTCGCAAAAATGGAACAAGCTGGGCGAGGCTTCGGGAAGCCAAAAATGGCTGTTTTCAGTGTATAAGATGCATCAACATTTTCACCCTCTTTTAGGGGGTGAAATGGTGCGTCTTATACTCCGAAAAATATTTTATACAACACAATACTATGATATGCAGCTTGGTTTCCTCTCTCCACATGAATCTGATGACCAAATCTATTAACAAAACCCCATTTCTCTGTTGTTTTCCTTGATTTCAGGTAGATGGGAAGTTACTCTGCTGGCTTTGCACACTCTCCTATAAGCGAGTGCTACAGAAAACCAAAGAACAGCGTAAACATTTAAACACTTCCTCTCGGACAAGCTTGCCGGAAAAAGAGCAATATGGCCGACTTAACTGTGGCAGCCACTACAGCAGGTATCTTTGCTTTGCACGCTGTTTTCTAGCTGCTCATTCTTTTTTTAATCCAATGATCTTGCTGACTTACGCTAAACCACGGATGTCAAGCTGGCGGCCCGCGGGCCGGATGCATCATGCACAGGCCATGCCCACCCTGGCTCCGCAAAGGCAAAAAATGTCATGATACGTCATGTGACATGATCAAGTTTGACACCCGTGTGCTAAGCCAAGTTTTGCTTAAGTATAGCTAGTCTTCATTTAATAATGGTAATTGGTACTGCAAACTCCATTGCTAAATGATGTGCTTGTAAAATACAACATAATGTGACCGTGTCAACTTACAACAATTTGTGACACTTCCGGAGGTGAAATGCTCCCAGTTTGGACTGGATCACTTGATCTGGTAGCAATGGCGGCTGGTGGTTCGGAGTACCGGTAGCAAAAAAACCCTGCCCCCCCCCCCATGCCCAGCTGAGCTGTGCAATCATTTTAAATTTATTTTTAAAAGCATTTTTTCTACAACCTCTTTGGCTGAAAAAATGCTTTTAAAAGTAAAAAAAAAAAAGGCTCTGATGATCGCGCGGGTCAGCTGGGATCACCAGAGGCTTTTAAAACCTCGGCTGAAGAGGTTGTAGAAAAAATGGTTTAAAAAGTTTTTTTTTAAAAAAAGTTGGCCACGCCCACTCAGTCACATTACCCCCCTCCCATCAAGCCAACCCACAGAACCTGTAGTAACAAATTTTACATTTCACCACTGCACAGTTCCACTTAACCATTGTTAAGCAAATCCTGTGGGGCAGGGGTGCTATTCAGCAGGTTCTGACAGGTTCTGGAGAACCAGTAGCGGAAATTTTCAGTAGTTCGGAGAACTGGCAAATACCACCTCTGGCTGGCCCCAGAGTGGGGTGGGAATGGGGATTTTTGCAGTATCCTTCCCCTGCCATGCCACACCCACAGAACCAGTAGTAAAAAAAATTTAAATTCCACCACTGCTGTGGGGTAGTTAGGCACAACATTGTACAATCGCCATTCGTGAACTCCTGCCAGCTTCCACCTAGCAGTGATGGATGTTACCTAGTTTGGGTAATGAAACACCTGCACGGACCCCTCATTTCAACCCTGAGCTTCAAACCTCCTCCTTTATTGGTAATGGTTGAAAATTTTAAAATGGTGGATTTCGAATTGGCCAGTTTTCCAGGCTGTGGTTAATTTCTCCTCTGTGCTCTTTTTTGCAGCCAGAAAACCTTATCTACATCTTCTATTCAGAATGAACTCCCAAAGAAAAAATCCAAGTTTGATGCCATATTAGCCAATGGGGACAGGTAAGCTACTTAAAGGGCTAATTGGATTTGTCTTTGCTTAAAAAAAGAAAGGAAAGAAAACATTTGGTACACATTCTGGTGTTTAAAGATGAAAAGTAGAAGTTCCTCAAAATGCCCTCAAAACTAGTCATCAGACATTCTGAAAAGGAAGATGACATCTCTCTGTTTCACCTTCCCCCATCCACCCCCTTCATGCCACAATTTCACTCATATGTCTCCTGCAGAGCTACTTGTTGCCTCTACCTAGGGGGGCTCTCATTGGCTTGCAGACAATTTAAAGATAGGGTTTTCAATAGGCCTGTGATACAGAAAAAATTAATGCAATGTGCTCTCCTATTTATGTAACAGAACTGTGTGTATTGTTGTTGTTAGTTGCGAAGTCATGTCCGACCCATCGCGACCTATGGACAATGTTCCTCCAGGCCTTCCTGTCCTCTGTTATACTCTGGAGTCCATTTAAGCTCATGCCGACTGCTTCAGTGACTCCATCCAGCCACCTCGTTCTCTGTCGTTCCCTTTTTCTTTTGCCCTCAATCGTTCCCAGCATTAGGGTCTTCTCCAGTGAGTCCTTCCTTCTCATTAGGTGGCCAAAGTATTTGAGTTTCATCTTCAGGATCTGGCTTTCTAAAGAGCAGTCAGGGTTGATCTCCTCTAGGACTGACCAGTTTGATTGCCTTGCAGTCCAAGGGACTCACAGGAGTCTTCTCCAGCACCATAGTTCAAAGGCCTCAATTCTTTGACAGTCAGCCTTCCTTATGGTCCAACTTTCACAGCCATACATTGCAAGCGTCTTTTAATTTCTTGGCTGCAGTCCCCATGTGCAGTGATCTTGGAGCCCAGGAAAATAAAATCCATTTCTTCCCCATCTATTTGCCGGGAATTGAGAGGGCTGGATGCTATGATCTTAGTTTTCTTAATGTGCATATTATATAACGTTCATTTTACTCTGTATATTGTAGTTCAGATACTCAAATTATTTCATTTATAGCAACTCAGCACAGCTAGTCCTCCTTTAGTGACCACAATTGGGAGCAGTTATTCCATTGCTAAACTTTATGCTTGCTAAGCAAAACATCATACGGCCATGAAAGACTTACAAACTCACTTCCCCTTGGGTTAAGGGAAACATCACATGATCACAACTTACAATTTATTTTCCCCTTCTCTATAAACTCCACTTGTTGCAAGCTGGTTGCAGAGCACATAAATGATGATCATTCAACAGGAGGCTGCTGCAGTGATTGTAAATGCAAAGATTATCCACAAAGCTATTTTTTTAACACCATCATAACTTCAGTCATTCAGCGAAGCAGGCATTAAGAAAGGACTGTCTGTAATTGTTAAATTAAAACTTGCCAAGCAGTCTAGTATTGTTATCCACAAATTGCAGGGCAAGGATGAAGGCTGAGGAAGCAAAGCTGCTCTATGGAATCCTTCTTTATCATGACCTCCAGTCTGCCTGGAGAGCCCTTGGTGTTGTAGTCACAACATATCTGACAAATACCCGATTGGGGAAACTTGGCCTGTGGCCACCAAGAGTGGACATTCAGGATGCAAGAATTGAATGAAGGGCTTCCCAGGACACTCTCTGGCCTAATGCTGTACCATATTCCATTGCAAGTTTGCAGGTTTGCATTTAGGCACAAATGATCAGTCTCAAATCATTCTACTTCGGACCAATTGCATATATGAAGGCCTGACTCTCTGGAGAAGGCTGTAACATTAGGAAAAATGGAAGGAAAGAGAAGAAGAGCGAGGTGGATGGAGTCAGTTACAGAGAGAATGAGTGGACTGTTTGGGGGACATAAAAAACAGATTAGGGATAGATCATCTTGGAGAAAATCTATGTGATTACCAGGAGTCAGAAACTACTGGACGGCATAATCAGATTGCAACTAACCCCAAGAAATATTTATGGAGATTCTCAGTCATCCAGGTCATGCTTATCCCAAAGGTGCTTTTTCAAGAAAGTACAGTTGCCTCTTAGAAAAAAAGCACCTTTGGGACCCAAGAAATATTCTTCAGTTTATTTAAGCAAACATAGTTTCTGGGTACCAACTCATAAGCTAAATTATCTAAAACCAAAGTATTTCAAACCTCTATTAAATTATAGAGGTACCTCTTAATGTTTTGCAGCATCTGAAATGTTCAACCTTATTAATATCCGTATACATTCTAGAGTACTTTTGGGGGAGATTTTGAAATGAGAACCAGTTTAGCCTAGTGGTTAAGGCATCAGGTTAGAAACCAGGAGACTGTGAGTTCTAGTTCTAAGCAGGAAAGCAGGCTGGGTAACTTTTGGCCAGTCACTCACCTCACAGGGTTGTTGTTATGGGGAAAAAAAGAGGAAGGAGGAATATTATGTAAGTTCACTGACTTGACTTACTTATAAAATAATAAAGGCAAGATAATCTAATATATATACACAAATAAATTTGATTGGAAGTCCTTGCAGTGTTCATATGTAGCCACTGGAGGGCAGACATAAACTGTGAGAAAAAAAATTACAAGTGATCCTCGACTTACGACCACAATTGAGCCCAATTTTTTTTCTTGTTAAGTGAGACATTTGTTAAGTAAGTTTTATCCCATTTTACAACCTTTCTTGCCTCAGTTGTTAAGCGAACCACTGCAGTTAGTAATCCGGTCATTACGTGAAATCTGGCTTCCCTACTGACTTTGCTCGTCAGAAGTTCCCATGACCTTGGGACCCAACGATGGTCATAAATGTGAATCGGTGGCCAAGCATCTGAATTTTGATCACATGATCGTGGGGCTGCTGCAAAGGTCATAACTCTGAAAAACAGTCCTAAATCGCTTTTTCCAGTGCCGTCGTAACTTTGAATGGTCACTAAACGAACTGCTGTAAATCGAGGACTGCCTGTACTGGCTTGCAGTCAAGCGAAGATGAGTCAGCAGAAATCTGACTGCAACTATTCTTGCACTCAGGTGTGCAAGATTTCTGCCCCAGATCTGTCTGTGATATGGAGGTTAATACAGCAGGAAATTGCATCAGGTTTGCATCAGATCGGCAAACTTGGAAAGTGACCAGGCCTTCATTTAAGCAGAACAGCCCAGCCTTGTATTTAAGTACAGGTAGTCCTCAACTTACACTACAATTGGGACCAGAATTTCTGTTGCTAAGCAAGGTGGTTGTTAAGTGAGTCGTGCCCGATTTTACAACCCTTTTGTTTTTTGCCACAGTTTTTAAGCAAATCATTGCAGTTACATGAATCAAGCGCTTGTTAAGTGAATCCTACATCCCCTTTTGACTTTGCTTGTTGGAAGCCGGCTGGTGACCCTCATAGGACCCCAGGAAGCTGCAACCTTCGAAAATACATGCCAGTTGCTTAGTGCCTGAATGTTGATCATGTGACTGGGGGGATGCTGCAGTTGTCATAAGTGCGAGGACCATCCAGTCGTTTTTTTTTTTCAGTGCCATTGTAACATTGAACATTCACTTTTGTTGTTGTTAGTTGTGAAGTTGTGTCCGACCCATCGCGACCCCACGGATCACGTTCCTCCAGGCCTTCCTGTCCTCTACCATCCTCTGGAGTCCATTTAAGCTCACACCTACTGCTTCAGTGATTCCATCCAGCCACCTCATTCTCTGCCGTCCCCTTCTTCTTTTGCCCTCAATCGTTCCCAGCATTAGGCTCTTCTCCAGTGAGTCCTTCCTTCTCATTAGGTGACCAAAGTATTTGAGTTTCATCTTCAGGATCTGGCTTTCTAAAGAGCAGTCAGGGTTGATCTCCTCTAGGACTGACTGGTTTGATCGCCTTGCAGTCCAAGTGACTCCCAGGAGTCTTCTCCAGCATCATAGTTCAAAGGCCTCAATTCTTTGGCAGTCAGCCTTTCCTATGGTCCAACTTTCACAGCCATACATTGCAACTAGGAAAACCATAGCCTTGACTATATGCACTTTTGTTGGCAGGGTGATGTCTCTGCTTTTTAGTATGCTGTCTAGATTTGCCATAGTTTTCCTCCCCAGGAGCAAGTGTCTTTTAATTGCTTGGTTGCAGTCCCCATGTGCAGTGATCTTGGGGCCCAGGAAAATAAAATCCATTTCTTCCCCATCTATTTGCCAGGAATTGAGAGGGCTGGATGCCATGATCTTAGTTTTCTTAATGTGCATATTATATAACATTCATTTTACTCTGTATATTGTAGTTCAGATACTCAAATTATTTCATTTATAGCAACTCAGCTAGTCCTCCTTTAGTGACCACAATTTTTGCACTTTTGTTGGCAGGGTGATGTCTCTGCTTTTTAGTATGCTGTCTAGATTTGCCATAGCTTTCCTCCCCAGGAGCAAGCGTCTTTTAATTTCTTGGCTGCAGTTCCCATCTGCGGTGATCTTGGAGTCCAGGAAAATAAAATCTGTCACTACCTCCATTTATTCCCCATCTATTTGCCAGGAAAACAATCACTAAATGAATGTAAATTGAGGACTACATGTACTTCTCTGATATCTCTAGACAATAAGGCCATGATGGCAACCTATGGCACATGTGGCCAGAGTGGCACGCGAAGCCATGTTGCCTGGCACGCACGGCATTGCCTGTTTATTTTCTGGATTCCTGGCGTGCATGTGCATGCAACGATCAGCTGTCCGCGTGTGTGGCGGTGCCAAAAACCAGTGTGCACACGCGTGCCTCGCGTTTCTAACCTCCAAACGCTCAGTTTGAGAGCCGTTCAAGGCTGCAGGGATTGCCAAAGAACATCCCCGCCAATCGCCGCCTCCGCGCATCGCGTTTTTGGCCTCCGCACAACCCATTTTTTGCCTCTTGTGTGTCACGTTTTCGGGCAGCGATGTGTTTTGGCGATCCCCACAGTCTAGAACAGGCTCTCAAACAGAGCATTTGGAGGCTGAAAACGTGAGGCGCGCAGCCCAAAATGGCAACCCAGAACAGCTGCTGCCTTGTCTTACCGCTTCCGCGCTTTACCTGCTTGACTCACTGGAGCTCCCTCTGACGATCAGCTGTGCTTTTGAAGCTGCTTATCAGCCCCAACGAGGTGCGCACTCACAACCAGCAAACTAATGTGCTGAAGCTGACCAGGCTAAGGACACTAGCCAGATGAATACCTGGTAGGCAGATTTTTTTTCCCCCTATTTTCCTCCCCAAAAACTAAGGTGCATTTTATACACCAGAGTGTCTTATACTCTGAGAAATACCGCATTTGTTCTTAGGAAAGAAAAAAAAACGAGTTTCACTATTTTCCAGATAATCTCATTGCATTGTTTATTTTTTATTAGAATTTTAAACAACAAACATAAAAACTATCAGAAAATAATATTTAAGTTTAAAAAAGTGAAAAGTGCAGGAAAAAAAAAGTGACAAAAAAATAGGTAAGAAATTATTTTAAATCGATCTGCTAAAATCATTGTCAACCATTTATAATCTTTATTCAGTAATGGCATTGGTCTATAATTTCTTATTAGAGTTAGATCTTGCCCCTCTTTAGGGATTAATGCTACATTAGCCTCTTTTCTGGCATCTGAATTCATCATTTTTGGAGGGGTTTTAAAGGTTAATCCTCAAAGGATTTGCAATAGGAATCCAATAATCCATCTGGTCCTAGTACTTTTCCTGGATTAATCTTTTTTATGACTTCAGAAACTTCCCTTATTTTTATAGGTTCATTCATAACTTGTTTTTGCTTCTTTGTAAGCCTTGTTAAACATTGGTTTTCTAAGTATCTTTGATAACATCTCAGCGTTTGAAACCATAGCCAAATTAACTTGATTTATATCTTCAGACATTTGTTTTGTAGAATTTTCCATTTTATCAAGCCTTTCATCCATCTTTTTTTCCAAGCGCTGTACATTTGAATTCAAGTGATTGGGCCAATTTAGTTCCTAATTAATCAAACATTGTCTGAAGTAAACTCAAATTGTTTTATCATCTTTCTTGACCAGCTGTTCCAAGGAAACTCTTCTATTCTAATCTTGTAGCCCACCTGTTAAGCACAAAGAATCAGGACCATAGGTTAAATTGCAGTTCAGAAGATTTATTGCTCAATCCTATACATAAGAATCTAGTCAACTAAAGTTTAGTACTAAATTGGGTGCCAGATAAGGATCAACAGAATTCTAGAGAAGTTGGACTTAGACTATTTGTGGGAAGGTAATGATTCTAGGCTAATGACTTGTTTAATTCCACCCCCAGCTCTGCCTGCTCTTTTCCTACACCCTTATTTAAAAATGAAAATGCTGAAGAAGATAAACAAACTTCACTCACTTTTATGTCTTTTAAAGCTGTAATTGCAAACACACGTCATATTTGGATCTCTATAGTTACCATCAAGTACTCAGTCTACCCAAGTTATCTTCATAAATTTGTTTTGTAAATTCAACCAATTATTGGGAGTCTTTTAGTGCAAAGCAAGCAGCATTCCCACAGAAAGTCTGAGTCAGGTAGAATTTTGGCAATGCAGTGTCGTAGAAAAATTAATCTTTTCCAGATAACTTTCCCCTTCATCCAGTTTAAAGTTCCTTATATCATCCCTTGTTAAGCTTTCTGCCAAAAATCACCAAGGTAAGTCCTTATCTGTTGTGAAAGGGAATCTCTCTCAGACTGTACAGTAATTATAGCAAAATGTGATTAAGAAATGCAGATTGGCTGATTGTTTTGTTCATTTTTGAATGTTCCACACCTGTGAACTTAGATGGAATCCCATGCCTCCCAACCACTCAACTCACGACCAGATTGCAAAAGCTTTCAGTTTTGCAGTTACCGTACTTTTCAGACTATAAAATGCACTTTCACCACCCTAAAAGTGGGTAAAAATTGTGGTGCGTCTTATATACCAAATGTTGCCGAAACCCTACCCACCCGCTGGCCCCCAGTCTTCGGCCATTTTCGGCCTCCACGCGTCACGTTTTCGGCCAAAAACGTGATGCGTGGCGGCAATCCCTGCAGCCCGGAACAGCTGACTGGCGGTATTCTTGGAGGCCGATCCAACCAATCAGCTGTTCGTGCTAAATCAGGCTGCGATAAGGTGCTGAAGCTGACTAGGCTGTTTGCTCTTTGCTGCAAGGACACTAGCTAGATGAATACCGATGAATGCTGGTAGGAAGAGGCAGATTTTTTTTTCTTGTTTTCCTCCCAAAAAACGAATGTGCGTCTTATACTCCAGAGAGTCTTATACTCTGAAAAATATGCTGACTTATAGGAGCATCTGTCCGGAGTCAAATGGGTTATTCCGTGTTCCTTTCTTTGCCTGGAGAGAATTCGATGCCTCCGGGTGCTGATCTCTGCTGAAATACTGTCTCCGCTCCCTGAAGATGATGAAACCACTCTTAATCCACACCAGAAACCTTCCTGCATCTTTTAGATGCCTATAACTCAGTATGCCTGTTTATGAAGTCTTGTGAAGATCATCAAGTTTCAGGATTATGTTATTAGACTGTTAGAGTTGCTGTGCATTACTGAAATGTAACCTCATGTTACAGAAATGCAAAACACAGTTTTGCTTTGCAGAAGCAAATGGTTTAGAAGAGAGTAGAAGTCTCTATTTAGAGCAGATGTTGAAATAAAAGATTGTACCAGATACCATACATGGGCATGAACAGCACAACTCATTTATGTTGTTGTTATTACTTTTTTTTAATGAGGCTCCCTGAAGCAATTGAATAAGAGGTATGGAAATTATGCCCTAAATGTGTTAAAACTCAGTGACGGATGGCAACCAGGGTTTCAGATTTCAGATTAACAGAGTTGGAAGGCACCTTGTAGGTCATCTAGTCCAACCTGCCCCCCCCCAAAGCAGGAGACCCTACACCAGTGATGGCTTTTGGGTGCTAAAAGCGTGTGCATGTGCCATAGCGCGTGCCGGCACCCATAATGCAATGCGCACGCCCCCGCACATGCGCGCACACACACACCCCACCCCCCCGCATGGGCCCGTTTCTGCACTTCCGGAACATATGTGCCACTCCCCCCACGCATGCACGCACATCTCCCACATGCCCCTGCCCCCTGCACATCCTGAAAAACAGCTGGCCAGTGGGAGGCACACATGTGCATGCGCAGTGGACATGATCTGGGCAATGGCGCGCATGCCAGCAGAGAGGGCCCCGCGTGCCAGCTGTGGCACACATGCCATAGGTTCGTCATCACGGCCCTACACCTTTTCTGACAAATGGCAGTCCAATCTCTTCTTGAAAGCCTCCATAAAGCTCCCACAACTTCCATGGGTTGATTGTTCTTACTGTCAGAAAATTTCTCCTCATTTCCAGGTTGAATCTCTTCTTGTTCAGTTTCCATCCATTATTCCTTGTCTGGCCTTCGGGTGCTTTGGAAAATAACTTGACCCCCTTCCTCTCCGTGCCACCCCTCAACTATTACTAAGCCTGGTTTCACCCAGTCTATATGTGTACTTTTGGTTTTTCTTGCCTAAGTGTAAGACTTTACTTTTCTCTACATTGAATTTCATTTTGTTAGACAGGGCCCAGTGTTCAAGGGTTACTTTCCCAACTTCTAGCTTTATGGGTCCAACCCTCTCTTCTTCATGGATCCATTGCGATGGATATTGGGTTATAGTAAATGAGCACAGTGAAGTCACTCCAATGGTCTCCTTCAGTTTTTCTCCAGACCTCGCCTTGGATTCCCCTGGCACCGATCATTTTGTCATCATAGCCCAACTGAAGGAAGAGGTCGCTACTTTGAAGAAAATGCTGCACCAGAAGGATCAGATGATCCTGGAGAAAGAAAAGAAGGTAACCCCTTGAAGCTCCCCCGCTGGGATGCTTTGCATTACAGCAGACTCTCCTGTATTGCTCACTGTCCTGCTCGCCCAGTGTTACTTGGAAGAGGAGGGGTCAGGATCTTCTAGCATCTTAATGAGACTCTAAGCCAGTGTTTCTCAACTTTAGCAATTATAACCCAGCTATGCTGCTGACTGGGGAATTCTGGGAGCTGAAGTCCAGAAATCTTTAAAAGTTGCAAAGGTTGAGAAACACTGCTCTAAGCCTGGAAATGCTATGAGGGTGAACCCATGCAGTCTTTTCATTTGAAAGTGATCTATGAAGTAATGTCTCGGTTGAGTATAACTTCATACTCACTTATCTGACAAAAGCAAAGAAAAATCATCATTTCTTTTTCTGCTTATTAATACATACAGCCGCCTTCCCAACCAGCAGTTAAAACAACATCAACTTATCCATCCATCCATCCACCCATCTCCCCCCCCCCTATCTATCTATCTATCTATCTATCTATCTATCTATCTATCTATCTATCTCTATCTATCTATCTATCTATCTATCTATCTATCTATCTATCTATCTATCTATCTAATATTAAAACCATAAACATTAAAAATCCAGCACCAAAGTTAAACTTTCACATGCAGTCCATCACTACGTCCTCTCATCAATCTCACCCTATTCCGCATTTGGGAAGGCTAGGAGAGTGGGGGACTGCCGAAATTCAGAGGAAAGGTGTTCCATAGGTAGAGGCTGTCACAGAAAAATCACACTTCCTAAACCCCATAAGATAGGAACATTTAAGGGAATGGAATAGGCTAACATGCCCATCCTATTTGACCTGATAGGACTGATGAATATCCTTAGGAAGAGGCAGTTCTGCAGCACCTGGCTCTGTGTCATGTAGGGCTTAAAAATAATAGCCAACACCTTGAATTCCACCCAGAATAAAATTTGGAACCAGTGCAGCTTGCGTAACAGAGGTGTTGGAGGTGCACAGTGGCCATGGATTTCTGCACCACTTTAGATCCCTGGCCCAGAGAAGGCAGATTTAAGCCCCCAGAACCATAAGCCTGGGGAACTCCACTGATAAGCCCAGTCAAAGTCTAGGACAGTGGTTCTCAACCTGTGGGTCGTGACCCCTTTCACAAGAGTCGACTAAGACCATCGGAAAACACATATTTTCAATGGTTTTAGGAATAATTTTATGGTTGGGGGTCACCACAACATGAGGAACTGTATTAAAGGGTTGCGGCATAAGGAAGGTTGAGAATCACTGGTCTAGGAGCACCAGTAAAGATGCTGCTACAGTGCAGAGAGGGAAGGTAAGTGAGCAGCAATCCCCACGGATCCCTTTGGCCCAAACTCACAAAGAAGGTCTCACATCCAGCAATCTCTTGTGCCTAGTGGCCACCAGTGACTCACAAATGACCACAGTCACACCCTTGTCCCTGTCCTAGAGTCATGGTTGGTGCCACAGTCGAAACCCAGGAGGGCACGTTTCAGGGAGGAGAATCTTCCTTTGATGTCTTTGTTTCCTTTCTTCTCTCTATCATTTTTATTACTATTTTATCTTTTAAACTGTTCTTCTATATTGTTCCCAAGAAAACAATGTGGGGCTTGTCCATGAATTTACCAGGAGTCTAGCTTCATTTGAAGTTGGTTTTTATCTTTTCCCTGTTTCCTCTTAAATCATGAATGAGATGATTGATATGACTGATGAAATCACGACATGGAAAAAAAAAAAGAATAGGATTGAACAGGCAAGATAATTGTCCAGAAAACAAGTAAACTTTGATGTTTAAAGCTGGAAATTATTGGTAGACAAATAAAACACTGGGTTGTGTTTTGTGTTTTGTTCTGTGGGGTAGAAATATGAACAGGGACCAAAATGACAGTCAGGAAAATAGAAGCTTTGAAATGTTGCGTTACAAAAGATGACCAAAACTATCTCATTTTGAACGTGAACAAAATGTGATAGTCCTCCATAGTATGGGAAAGATGGAGAAGTTGTAAATAATATCCGAAAAAGAAATAGGAATATTTTATTAATTAATTTATTATTATTTATTAGTCCAATTTATATGCCGCCCTTCTCTGTAGACTCAGTATAGCAGTAGCCTGCATACTTTTTTGTATATACCTGCTTATTAGGGCTTTTGGCCCCCCCAAGCGGTGTTGTTCTATACAAAGTTGACTTATTGCCCCCACGATCCGGGTCCTCAATTTACCTACCTCGGAAGGATGGAAGGCTGAGTCAACCTTGAGTCTGGTGAGATTCGAACTTGCACTAATTGCAGGCAGCTGACAGTTAAGTGCTAGCACTTAACAGCACTTTAGTCCGCTGCACCACCGAGGCTCTTGGGACATATTTAGGACATATAATCATCATCATCATTTAAAGACCCCATAATCCCTTGCGGAGTGGAGTCTGGGCAACTGAATGGAGCTAGCAGAGCGTTTAATGGCCGGATGCCTTTCCTGTCGCCAATGCGGAGCTTTGTTCAGCAGATACATTCTCAGTGTGCCCAGAGAGAGAAATATCTGCCTCTACCTAGGATTGAACTCACAGTCTCCTGATTGTGAGGTGAGAGCTCCACCTCTAGGCCATCGCACCACTCTATTTAGGACATATAATACACCCAAAAATGCTGATTTTATCCATATCTATCTATCTATCCGTCCGTCCATCCAGCCATCCGTCCAGGTATCTTGGTATCTATCTCGCACTGCAATCACAGGACTAAGAATAAACCCTAAGCACAATACATGGCATTAGGCCTTAAAAGCTCCTCAGAAAAGTTGTATCTTCAGCTTTTTCTGGAAGACAATTTTGGAGATAGATGAATCTCCAGTGAGAGATGATTTCAGAGGTCCTGCCCCATCATGAAATAACACTTCTGGGCTTTGCAAAAATAGGGACAGCTGGCTACTTGTCCCAGCATGATTGAAGTTGACTTGAATTAGGATTGTGTGGTCCTGCAGGTAACCAGGCAGCCATCCATAAAGGGGTTTATGGATTGAAATCAGCACTAATTGATTCAATAGAGTCATGGGAGATGCAGCACTCAGAAATGATACATATTCTGGCTGAAATATTTATCTGCATGGTAGATAAACATGTCCTTCCTTTGGACAGCAACCCAAAATAGCAAATAGTGCTGATAGTCATCAATATCCAGTAGAAGACAACATCATTCATCTGAGGTTCTTTTCTCCCTCTTCCTCTTCTTCTTTTTTTTTTAAATATATAGTGTCATTATTTCACTGGACATTTAGTAGGATGAGGCTCCAGTGTTAGTATATTTCACGTGTTTCAAAAATTATTTACTGTAACAAAATACACATGCATCACCAATGTAGCCATTTCTTTATCTCTTGTTACTTCTTAACTTTTTGTGTGGGTGCACGTATTTCATGATGCACTGCCCAAGGACAGAGGCAATATTCAGCTCCCGGAAAGTGATAACAAAATGGATTATTTTTTCACTATCGCTCCAAAATACAGATTAGAGAAATGGAACTAAGGTACGTTGGAGAGGCAAAGCAATCCAAACTCCACCTTTTTTTTTTTTTTTTTTTACTTTTCTGCCATCACATATTATGTTCATAATTATTTCTGGTGTTTAAAATTTTAAGTCCATCGTTCTCAACAGGATGGTAGTATTAAAAGAGACAAGGAAATGGCTCGTGTTCTGCCCGTCTGAAAGATACCAGAAGGAAATTGGCCCCAGCTAGCCTGGATAAAAGGGATGCGGTGGCTCAGTGGCTGAGACGCTGAGCTTGTCGATCGAAAGGTCGGCAGTTCAGCGGTTCAAATCCCTAGTGCCGCATAACGGGGTGAGCTCCCGTTACTTGTCCCAGCTTCTGCCAACCTAGCAGTTTGAAAGCACGTAAAAAAGGCAAGTAGAAAAATAGGGACCATCTTTGGTGGGAAGGTAACAGCGTTCCATGCGCCTTTGGCGTTTAGTCATGCCGGCCACATGACCACGGAGACGTCTTTGGACAGCGCTGGCTCTTCGGCTTTGAAACAGAAATGAGCACCGCCCACCTAGAGTCGGGCACGACTAGCACATATGTGCAAGGGGAACTTTTACCTTTACCTAGGCTACCTGTTTCATTTTTCCAGAAAAAAAACATTAAGAGGTTAATAAAACACCACCTGTTATTCTTCAGCCTGGAACTGACGTACTCGGTTCCCCTGGGGAGGGATGGCGTTATATTAGATCACTTCAGTGCAAATGCATCTCAGCAGCCCTATTTGCTTTGTTTTGGCTTGCAGATAACAGAACTGAAGGCGGACCTGCAATACCAGGAATCCCAAATGAGGGTGAAAATGAACCAGATGGAAAAAACTCACAAAGAAGTTACAGAACATTTGCAGGTAACCTTGATTTCATTAAGGGACTTTTTACGAGTATTCACACAGTTCAGCAGACTTGATTGCTACACCATGTTGGGCCAAAATGTGTTGGTTTTTTTCCTCAGTTTTGGCTTGACATTCAATGCATTGCATGAACTCAGCCATTGCAGTTTATAATGTCCCGTGTTATGAAAGTGTTTCCAGTCTTAGCAACTCAGGTGTGTGGACTTCAACTCCCAGAATTCCCCAGCCAGCATGGACTTGTTCCTGCGGTCGCTAGGAATCGGGATCCAATTTGGGTCAGTCATCAGGACCAGAGGTTTAATCTTCCACTCTTTTGGACTCGTGCTGGAGCCCATCCTCAGAGAACTTCTCTCTCACCAGAATGAGAAGTTCCCTGAGGATGGGCTGCAGTAGGAGTCCAAAAATTCAGAAGATTAAACCTCTGGTCCTGGTGACTGATCCAGGTTGGATCCTGCAACATTATCCTAGGACAGGGATAGCTAGCCTTTTCTGGACTGAGTGCCCAAAAAGGGCGCCCGAACCCCCAAAATGCAATGCGTGCGCAGCCCCCTACATGCGCCATATGCATTTGCGTGTGGCCCTGGGCACGCACCCCACACATGCGCATGTGCCCCCCTGCATGCTTGTGCTTCCCCCACACACACTCCGCCCCCCACGCATACATGGCAGAGACTCAAAGACCAGCTGGCTGGCAGGAGTGCGCATATGTGCAGCAAAGTTGAACGGGAGCGATGGCTCGTGTGCCATAGGTTTGCCATCACAGTCTTAGGATATCTATATTTGCCTTCATTCACCCGAAATCAGGTTTGATTCAAGAGACCATAGCAGTATGCAAATCCAGCCATTTTGGCTTACTCCAGGGTAGTTAATCATGGTTTAGCACACTGAAATGCACATTTTATTCACACCTCTCTTCCTTTCTCCCTGCAGGCCAAGAACCGAGAGCTCCTGAAGCAGGCTGCAGCTTTATCCAAGGGCAAAAAATCAGAGAAATCGGGAGCAATAACTTCCCCTTAAATTCGTCAGATCTCTTACCCTAAGACGTCTGAGGTTTAAAACCCCACGGTTCCAGAACCACACATGGATTGCTACTCTCGTGCGCATGACAGAATCCTTTGAGATTGGCTATTCAATAGAGTGCCCCAGTGCTGGTTTATAAAATCTCTTCCTCCTGACATAGAGTACAGTGATGAGAACGATTGGGAGGTTTGGTCCTCCTGTCCTCCAAGCTCAAGAACAAGCCCTTTTTAGCTCAGATATTTCTCTCCAACTATTTTTACCATCACTGCCTTGGGATTGATGAAACAAGAGGGCCTCCTTGCTGATTGGATCCTTTACAGGATTCTGCTTTTGTACTACACAAGAGACCTAAAGTGGCCAGAGCCAGTTTTAAAACAATTTTTAAAGCCTTTTTAAAATGAAAATTCTGTCTATTTGGGGATGTGTTCCACCCCTCAATTCTTAAGGACAGCTTGAGACTTTTTCTCACAGGTTTGTAAATTGAGAACCGAGTTTCAATCAACAATTCTCTCTCCAGCTTCTAAAAATTCAAGAGTTTCTTGGCAGAATAATTGAATATACTCATATGGAGGCCAGCGGTTATGAATTAGTGTTTTGCTCACGTTTTTTATGCTTCTTTAGATAGCACAGCTTTTTTAGGCTGGTTCAACAGCTCCGTCCATTTGGAGTGATATCAGGAATCAGAAGTAGTCTAAAATTACTTTTCAGGTACATGGGGTGAATTAGTAACAAGTGTACATCTATGCAGTTTTTCTGAAGAAAAACAAAACAATCATGTTGACTTCCTTGGCAGCACCCTCAAGTCAGGTTTACGGGGCTGGCAAGAAAATGAGACGGCTTTAAGTGCTGAGAGAGAACTCTTAATGCCTGTAAAGGTAGAGATGAAAAGAATTCAATGAGTTCTTCGGCTCTGGTCCCTTGCTGAATTTTCTGGGAAATGGTAAGTGTTCAAAAGCAATGAGAAGCTGCTAGTTTGTTTTCAGTTTGCTCCAGGCTGATTGAATTTGTGTGTGTGTGTGTGTGTGAAGAAAATCATTGCAAAGAAATGCCTCCCACAGCAATTTGAGATGAATTAATTACCTTTTTATATATAAATCAGAGGCCAAAACCTGTGCTGCTGTTGATTTTCTGATGCCTGTCTCTTAAAAAAAAGGAAGACAACTTTGAACTGGGAAGCATGTGCAGAAATTGACGCTGTACTTCAGGTTATTTATTTTTTAATCTTCTTTGCTCTTTTTGGTAAGAACCCATTGCCTAAGAAAGAGCATACTAAATAGAACCTAATTTTTATACCTAATATATATACATATATATATATTTTTAGGAAGAATTCATTCATAGAGATTTAAGTAGGGTTGTTTTTTTAGCAATCTTTTCCCCCACCCCAACCAATTAAGAGGAGAATGATATTTCTGGAACAATTTAGGTGTGTGTTTTTTCCCCTCCTTCGTTGTGACAGTTCAATCATGCATTAAAGTGGGTGCTTTACCGTGATGCTGTTCTTTCTGGAATGTATTAAGTTGATTTGTACAAAAGACAGGCTAAAATATGCATCTGGGGGAAGGGGGAAATCTTACAGCAGCTTTTTCTTTGGATATTTTGTGTATGGCTTTCTGGATTGGTCCAGACAAAATAAGCTTTATTTTCTTTCTCTCTGAACTGGGGCCTTTAGGCATTGCTACCCTCACAAAATACAAAGAGCTTTTGGTGCTAGGGTGGAATTCACTGTCTGTAGCAAATTAAAGACTTTTTTTTTATATAATTAGGATTTATTGTTTGTCGTGTCCTCTTAAATCCTCTTTGCCTATCTCTGTAACTGTTGTTATTGCTTTAAAATGGCCAAAGCTGCTTGGGATTTTAATAGACTGAATTGTTTCCTACCTACCTGCCCTACCGTTGAAAAGTCTCTCCGTTTGGCTTATGAAGCTTCCACAGCTGACAGTGACATTTCCTGATTGGCCCAGATCTTCCCACCACACCCCCAGGCCCAGAGTGATGTTTCATGAATTAAGCAGATAGCCACACACATATATGATAGAAGGGCATAAATGACAGCTCCTTAGGGAAATCCATACCCTCATTGCCTTACTCTTTCAGGACGTCCACAACAGACGAGTAGCTCTCCCCACCTTTGCCAGCCAAATGAAGAAAAATGTGTGATATGGTAGATTGTGGGGGCCATCAAAAGGAAATTACATATTCCTAGAGTGATTATAGGTTAGCAGTAACAGTTCTTTGTCCATAGTCATAGCGGGTGATTCATAGAGGCTACTATGGTTGAGGCCGGAAAACCTAGACCAGTAAAACACTCAAGGTTTTAATGGGTCCACTCATTTGGACCCATTTCCCACAGAAAACAAAACACCAGGAGCCACAAAACCCTTCCTGTGCCTGACTATTTCCTGAGAGGCCACAGAACTAGCATATGTAGTTGAATTAAATGTTCTGTTTTCGTCTGAAACTTTTCTTTTCTTGGATTTATCCATGGTTGGCCTACTGGGGGTTGAAAAGCTCAATAAATCACATGTTGGCAAGTGTCACACATTGGTGGTTGTAACGCACATTTTGAGCGACAGGGAGCCGCAGCAGAGGGATGAAAGAGCCACATGTGGCTCCAGAGCCGCAGGTTGCTGATCTCTGACCTAGGCAGAGGTGTAGCTTGATGGGAGTTTGATGGCAGACCATCACAAAATCCCAGGTGTGTGCAGACTAGACTGGGAAGTTAAAATACATCCCTAAAGCAGGAGCTCACTTCTGTATTGTTGCCAAGAAAGCTACATTGTCACACTCAGGTAATTAAGAGGTGTCTCAACTTAGGGACATTCTTACCTGTTTATACCTGTTCCTGGCCATATTAAGTGCAATGGTGCATCCTAACTGCAGGAAAGGGCAGGTAAGGTTTATGAGATTTGTTTTGGGTTTGGTTGTTTTGTTTGCTTTTGCTTTTTGTTTCTTTAAAAAAAAAAAAGACCCCCGAAATCTTTCTGTGGGAAGTTAGTGCAAATGGTTGATGCCTTAGAATTAAGGAGCTTTATTCTCACGAACGAAGATAAAAAATGTAGAAATAGAATGAAATAGACAAACAGGATTTTAAAGCACAATTTTAAGGAGAAATGCCAACACTTTAATTATTTCCAGCAGTTCTGTTCAAAATATTTTACAGATGATGGCAATGGTTAATATAGCTAACAAAGGACAACCTTTGAATATAACGTATCCTTCATTGTAAGGTTTTCTAAACTTGTGGCTTGGTTACTTTTTTAGCAAGAACAATTTATGATGTTTAAATACCTCTGAAAAATGTAGTTTAGCTTTCCAGTATTTTGTGAAGACAAAAAAAGTTCAACCATTTCTTATATTTATATGCTTAAGGAAATGTGGATAAAAAACCAAAATCAGAATTCGTAATGAAATGTTGGATGCTTGCTTGTTTTCACGGTTGCTTCAGGCTGTTTCCATTTTGTTTTTACTATCACTAACACAGTCCAAAAAATAAATACACTTAAATGGAGCATTATGCCATTAATGGATTATTTCCTCACTTTTTGATGATGTACTGAAATAGATTTAAAAGGAATTCTATATTGCAAAGAGTTTGAGCAAGCCTCATTGGACTTGAGATCAGTGTCTCAGAGTTTTTTTTTAAAGACTTTCAAGAGGATTTATCATTTTTAACTTATTTATCACTGATAAAGTTGGCATTAAATGAAGTTGATGTACATCATTGTTCAAATATTAATGGTCTTAATTGATGAGATTTAGAGAGCTTGTATAAGAATGACTGAACTTGGATTATCCGTAGCCAATTTAAAACTTGTGACCAATCCTTTCGCAAAGTATATTCAAAGTAACAGCATAATCTTCAGCTCTATGAAATTCCCATTCCTTGTGCTGAGTAAATTTATCCTCATAGTTGAGAAGAGAATAATTGGAGAATAAGAAAATATCAGGCACTATTAATAGATTCTACCTTTCCAGACTTCTTAAATAATATTTGAGGATTTTGAGATAGTAGATAATTAATGTCTTTGTATTCAGGTGAAACAGTATCACTTTAATCAAATCCAGAGGGAGGAATGCATTTATCCTTTATTATTTTAATATGTAACCATTTTTCATTTTAACTCCATAGCAACAAAATAATATTCCAAATTGGGTACGTCTAAGCCGCGCTCATGTTTTTATTAATATTCTGTGGTCAACCTAATCTGTTTATCACTGTATATAATTGAAGGAAACTTGCCAAATACGAAATCAAGTAGGTAATAAATTGGGATGCTTGGAATAACATAGAATTTTAGACGAAAAGACATTTTAAGCTATTTTACCAAATAATGAGAGCGGAAAATATTGCCCTGACTTAAATCCTCTTTTAATCTTGTGCAGAAGAGAATCATTAATCATTAAAGCTTCTTTAGCTGGTGCCAATTGTTTGAAAAATTATGCCTATTTAAATTCACATGAATTAACATAAAATCCAGTAACTTTTTAAAGCCCATTTTATGCTTGCTTAATGTTAATTGAATGGAATTGTTTGTTTATTCTGCTACCCTGTGCTAATCATTTTATAGTAATATTCAACGAAGTAGTCAGGTTCAACCAAATTTATTTGGAACTTTTATTTATTTACAAAAAAACCCGGTATATACCATGTTTTCCTGAAAATAAGACAGGGTCATATTTTCTTTTGAACCCTGAAATAAGGGCTTGGCCTTATTATTGGGGAGTCTTTATTATTTTGGGGGTGCTCATGGTGGCTGCTTTTTGCCTGAGGCTGTGCCTGTGTCCTCACGTCCCTGTGCCCAGCTCTTCAGGAGCCTGCTCGCAAGAGAGCAGCAGTCCGGCATCTCTTGCCACTTGGTGCCTACCCAATGGACACCGTCCGTTCTATGGTTCCAGGTCCATGCGGTTGCCCTGGCTCCTGGAAGACTTGGCAGCAGGTAGCTGGCCCGACCGGCCTCTTCTCTGCTTCCAGCCAGGGTTTGGAAGCCGCAGACGAAGCCATCCTCAGTGCTGGGATGGTGCTGACGTGGACTCAAGGACCTGGTGTTCACTGGCTTCGGCCACATCGTGATCCTGGGACACTGCTCAGTCAATGAATGGCGCTCTGCCTGGCCAGAGGGGGGGGAGGTGTCCGCTGGGTGGGCACCAAGTGGCAAGAGGTGCTGGGCAGCTGCTCTCTTGCTAATGGGGTGTGAGTTTTCAGGCGAGGGGAATGAATGGATGGATGGGAGGCAGGCGAGCGCCAAGAATGCTGGGGAGAGAGAGAACGAGAGGCAGCTCCCAATCAGCTCAGCTTATCTGCGGGTTGCCATTAAGGAGCCCAGCTGCCATTAGCTGACCGGGGAAGGGAAGGGCTGCCTTCTGTGCTGCCCATGCCCAACCCTTCACTAGGGCTTATTTTTTGAGGAGGGGGGAAATTTGCGCCCACCCCAAAAATCAGGCTTGGCCCTATTTTCAGGACATGTCATATTTTCAGGGAAACACAGTAATCAATTGATGGTAATTGCTACTCTACTTAACATCTTCAGAACCTAGGAATTAGATCAAAGAACTACTAATTTAGTAGGGAGGGGAATCTATTCCTGATTAACTTCCTTCATCTCTGTAAGTTCTGAGCCAATAAAGCTACAGTTTCCCATCATGCCTGACCTAAGGTATACTCCTCTTCACCTGTCACACAGCTGGCAGCTCCCTGGCTCTCTCCTCCAGTGACAGGATGGGTTGCATTAGCCAGCAAGAGCTGGGTTTTTGTTATTGCTTAGCTTTGCAGTCTGTCCCTTGCTATAGCAGGATTAGGGCGGTGAGCTCATTGGGAAAGGATGGCATGCATGTTAATAGCTGTCTGCTGGATACGCTTCCAACTGTACTATCTAGTAGCTGACTTGTCCTGTTACAAAGAAATGGTAAGTGTGAGAGTCATCCAGCAGATTAAAAAATATAGGGGGGTAATCATTAAAGGAATATAGTGCCCCTTAATTCTAGAGTGTGACCAAGCCGCATGGTGGCTTAGAAGTGGACCTCTCACCTCACAATCGGGAGGCTGTGAGTTCGGTCCTTGGGCAGCAGCAGATACTTCTCTTGTGTGCAAAGAGAAAATATCTGCTGTGAACTCTGCCTAGGCATCAGGAAGAGTGTCCAGCCAGGAAACTCTCAGCTCCATTCAATGGCCTCAACTCCACCCCAATGCAAGGGATTATAGGGTCATTAAAAGAGAAAAAATTCTAGAGTGTGACCATTCTGCCCAATTCTGAGGTCTTAACTGGGCTTTTCAAGCTCTGAAGCAGGTCATCCTCTGAAATTGAAGGAAAGATCCAAGAAAAAGCAAAGGACGCCAGGGTACTGATTTCTATTCCCCATCTCTCGGGTCTTTCTTAAAATGGTCTGGAAAATAGACGTTCTTCAGAAGCTTTCACATTGGAACTGCATAACACAATTCCAGTAGCAGAATGCTGGTCCCACTGATGAGTCCAAACATTGTCCTTTCAAAGAGATGGGTGTGTTGCTTATGGGTAAGATTGCAATAAGCAAACTGGGCATACAGAACAGAAATAACAAAATGTATTAAATCCTAAAACACCACCCTGGAGTTTTCATTTGCAGACCCCTAATTGATGTTAATCTTGTATTATAGCTTGAATGCAAAAAACAGTTCCAAAGTAGCAAACTATCTAGAACGGGGGTGTCACACTCAAGGCCCTGGGGGACGGCTCCAGCCTGCGAGGGGCTTAGATCTGGCCCGCGGGGGCCACCCTGGAAATAGTGAAGCATTGGCCTGCGGTGCTTCTGCCAGTGAAAACGGAGCTCGGGAGCCCGTTTTCGCTGGCAGAGCGCTCGGACCACAAACAGGCGCCTCTGACACGAGTGACGTCGAGCTGGCCACGCCCACTCTGACCCCCCCCCCCGAGGTCAAACACAACCCTGATGCGGCCCTCAATGAAATCAAGTTTGACACCCCCGATCTAGAAGTTACGCTTTCTTTTTTCTTTGCTGCCCTCTTGAGAGATTTCTCAAGGCCAAGAGGTGCTTAGCCAATGGCCACTCCCTGGTTCTTGCTTCAAGTGAGTCACAACCTAGAGCTCGGAACTGAAACGATAAAAAACAGATGTTCTTGGACCATTCACAGCAAGATTATATAGAATAAAGTCTATAGGTACACACTTTATTAGGCATTGCACATATGCCACATGTATTCATTGCCAGCACTTGTCGTAGAAGTATTTTTTTTCAAAGGAAAGCTCGTATATTTTTAAGATACTAAATGGTCTGTTCCAGTTTCTCTGTTTGCATGATTGAGCCAAGAATTCACAGTGCAGAACATAATGAATTGATAAGGAAATTGAAGAAGACAATCACAAAAAGAAATAAAGGTTAATCCCACCCCACCACCCACCACCCTCGTTTATTGTAGATGAGCCTCTCCAGAGCAAGGCCTGGAAACTTTTCCTGCAGTGTTTCCGTGTAGAGCAGAAAATAGCAACTATTCCATGGCTGAGTCCATGCAATATGTTCAGCTACTTAAAGCTGAGTTATAGATCTAGCAGCTGTTTTGCAGAAGCTAAGCTTGGTTAGATTTGTTTGTGGCTTAGTGCGTTGTGCAAACCCTGTCTATCTGGACAGTGGTGTGAATACAAAACACGAATAGTTTGAGTAAGCAGATCAAAAGCATTTTGTGAATTCAGCCACTGTTTTTTTCCTAAGTAAGGCAGCTGTATGAACCACCAATACATGGTATCACCGTATGACAATTATGCATATTTCACCTAGCTTTATTTGGCACTCGGGATAGAATGATACTTAACACTTCGGATATTCCCCTTCTAACATTTTTTTTTAATTTTGTTCGTTTTATGTTCATTATTTATACTCCCCCTTTAAGGTTCAACAACCCAAGTTGCTGTGTTATTTAAAAAAAAAAACAATTGCAAGAGAGTGTAGTAAAAGGAACTTCCATTCTTCAAAATTTAGCTCCTTGCACAGAATTTCCAGAAGAAGCAAAATGTGCTGAACATGGACTTCAACTCCCAAACTTCCCAGCCAAAAGCTAGCTGGGGTTTTTCTCTGTGTGTATGTGTGTGTGTGTGTGTGTGTGAGAGAGAGAGAGAGAGAGAGGTAACAGTAACAGTTGGAAGGGACCTTTGGAGGTCATCTAGTCCAACCCTCTGCTCACACAGGAGACCTATACTAGGGATTCGAACCGCTGACCTTTCTGATCGACGGGGGTGGGGGGGAAGATACCGGATCCTTAGGAAGGACCCGTCTCCTGCAGGCCCGTATATCCATTGTACAGAGCATGCTGACCCTGGAAGCAGAGGCCAGGACAAGATAGAAGGACCTGTATCAGATGCCTGTTTACTTGAATGAGCAGGATGGATGTGGAAATCAGATCATTCCTTTCCATTTTAGATGTGGGGCGTTTAACTTCTAGGAAGCTGATATTTATAACGGGCCAGTTCTTCTGTGAGGTGATGTCTCTTTTTAAACTTGATTCACATACGCAGTGTGTGGTAG